CTAAAAGCTAACAGTTCTCTATCAGAAGATCAGAAGCTAAAAGCTAACAGTCCTCTATCAGAAGATCAGAAGCTAAAAGCTAACAGTCCTCTATCAGAAGATCAGAAGCTAAAAGCTAACGTGTTTAGCATCTTGTTGTAAAGAACCTAAATATTTTTGTCTCCTCAGTCATCGCTGTGAACGACATGAAGTGGCAAACATCCGGAATGTTCCGGCCCTTCGTGGAGGTCTCCATGGTGGGTCCTTTCCTTGCTGACAAGAAGCGCAAGTTCACCACCAAATCTAAGAACAACAGCTGGAGCGCCAAGTTCAACGAGACCTTCCAGTTGTGAGTTAGAATCTGAAGTATTAGAACTATCCATACATCCAACCATACATCCATCCAAACAACCATACATCCAACCAGCCATACGTCCAAACATACATCCAACCATACATCCAACCAAGCAACTATGCAAACAACCAACCATACATCCAACCAGCCATACGTCCAAACATACATCCAACCATACATCCATCCAAACAACCATACATCCAACCAGCCATACATCCAACCATACATCCATCCATTCAACCATCCATCCAACCAGCCATACATTCAACCAACCATCCATCCAACCATCCATCCAACCTGCCATACATCCAACCATCCATCCAACCATACACACATACATCCATCCAACCATCCACCAACCATACATCCACCATACATCCAACCAACCATACATCCATCCATCCATCCAACCAACCATACATCCATACATCCAACCCACCATCCATCCATCCAACCAACCATCCATCCAACCAACCATACATCCATCTAACCAGCCAACCAATCATACATCCAACCAACCAACCAACCATATGTCCAACCATACATCCAACCAACCATACATCCAACCAACCATCCATCCATCATCCAACCAACCATCTATCCATCCATCCAACCATCCATCCAACCAGCCAACCAACCATACATCCAACCAACCAACCAACCATATGTCCAACCATACATCCAACCAACCATACGTCCATACATCCAACCAACCATCCATCCATCCATCATCCAACCAACCATCTATCCATCCGTCCAACCAACCAACCAACCAACCAAATGTCCAACCATACATCCAACCATACCTCCACCATACATCCAACCAACCATCCATCCATCCATCATCCAACCAACCATCTATCCATCCGTCCAACCAACCAACCAACCAACCAAATGTCCAACCATACATCCAACCATACCTCCACCATACATCCAACCAACCATCCATCCATCCATCCATCCAACCAACTATACATCCATCCATCCAACCAACCATCTATCAATCCATCCAACTAATCAACCATACATCCATCCAACCAACTATACATCCAACCATCTGTTCATCCATTCATCCGTTCATCCATCCATCCATCCAACCAACCATCCATCCATCCATCCATCCATCCAACCAACCATCCATCCATCCAACCAACCAACCATCCATCCATCCATCCATCCATCTGTTCTCTGTTTTTTGTCTCCTCTTCATGAAAAAAAGACAAAAGAACACATGAAGAGTACGACACAAAAACAGACACACGAACAGCCAAAGTTTTTCCAAAATCAGAAAAGACAAACAGGAAATGAAAAGATGCTGACTCAGCGATCTGATCTGATTGTCTCTTGTCCCGCAGCCTTCTGGGGAAGGAGTCCCCGGACTGCTACGAGCTGCAGGTGACGGTGAAGGACTACTGCTTCGGCCGAGCGGACCGGGTGGTGGGCGTGGCCGTGGTCCAGCTGCGGGACGTGGCGGACAGGAAGAGCTGCGCGTGCTGGTGTCCCCTGGGGCCGCGCGTCCAGACGGACGAGACGGGCACCACGGTGATGAGGATCCTGTCCCAGCGGCCCGCCGACGAGGTGGCCAAAGAGTTCGTCAAGCTGAAGTCCGAGACCAGACCCGTGGAGGAGGGCAGGTGAGCCCGGGTCCTGCCCCAGGATCATGACCCACATCGTCCTGACGTGTCTGCTTCATCATATCTGACAGATTTGGATTTTCTGCAGAAAGATTTGACGTAAAAATATTAAAATTAAACGATTAACGAGAGAAAAAAGAACCGGATCTGAGAGGAAACCAAAGGAAACTCATCCAGAACCAGTCCCCTTCGAATGTGTTACCGGACTCCCGCAGCACCAGACGTGTCTTACTCAGAGTTCAGTCATCAGGATGTGGTGAGCGGGACAGGAAGTGCAGCTTTCCTGGACAGGAAGTGGTTCAGATGTTTGTGATATTTCATTTAAAAAACAAACGTTTGTTTGTAGCAGGTTCCTTAAACATGAAAAGCCTTAAACCGAGCCGCTGGAGACGAGTGAAGGATCGAGGAGCAAAGCATTGTGGGTATGAAGTGTCCGACCTTTAGGTTTCTGTTTCTTGTTTGCTGCTCTGAACAGAAAAAAAACAGATTTTATTTTATTTTATTTATTTTTGAAGATGAAACAGATGAAACAGATGTGGATCAATTCTTGGTTCCAGAACCTTTGGGGGTCACTTCCTGTCTGCCGTTCTGATCAGCCGGACCACCACAGCTGACTCGTTTTCCCTCCACCTTAACGTGGTGGGAGTGGTCTGAGTCCCCCTGGTGGTCCCGGTGGTCTCGGTCCTCTCCAACATATTCATAAAAACCTGATCATTTCTGCAGGTTTTAGTTTTAACTGAATTATTTCTTTTATTTTTGTTCCTTTAGTTTAAAGACTTGATCTGGAACAAACTGGTTTCTGTGCCGAGGACCACCTGCTTCTGTTTCGTGTAGATTTAAAAACAAACGTGGCCTTTTGTCGACTTCACTGCTGCTTTCTGAAAAACAGTCTTCATCAAAGTGAACAAACGTCTGCAGAACACCGGCGACCGCAGGAAACAACTCTAAACTGTAAAAAAATAAAAATAAAAAAAAGCATGAATTAATTTTATGTTTTTATTTTCCTCTCCTGATGTCCGTCGTGTGAAACGGAGCAGATGTGTGTAAAATATAACTGTATTCAAATGTAACATTTTGTACATAAAATATTTATGAATCAAGTGGGCGGGGCTTGTCTTCTGTGTTTCCTGTTCCTGAAATCAGCCGACAGTTAATGCTAATCATCAGTCACTGTTCCTGTGTGCGTCTGTTAGCAAAATATCTCATGAACCACTGGATGGGTGTGGTCAGAACTTTCAGGAAACGATCGTTAGATGAAGATGAACTATTAGCACCATTCAAGATGGCTGCCACAGCTGATTAATGTTAGCAGAAATGGCTAAAAACGGTTGGTAGTAGCTGTGAGTGATACCAACACAGTCTGAGAGCTAGAATTTATTTTCTCACATTTAAATGTTTTCGACTAAAGATAAAAATGTTTTCCTTCAAGAACGTTGGTCTTTAACATTTATATTTACATGCTGGTTTATATTATTTTATATTTATGTAGAACTTTGACTTAAAAATATACTTTTCTGAGAGTTTTATAGTTATCTAGATTTTACTCAATTCCTGTTGTCGGTTTTATTTTGAAATTTTTTCTCACATCCTTACTTCCTGTTTTCCCTCCACACCTGTTTTCTATTCATCAGTTGCACCTGTGGCTCGTTGTAGTCAGGATTTTATGTTTTTGTATTTCAGCTGCTGAACGTGAGCCGAGCTTCTAACATACAGGAACTAAAAAACAACTTTTTTCTTAATTTAGTTTCATCAGAAATAATTCAGATAAAAAACAACATTTTTTATGATAATTTATAATAAAACATTATTTATTTGTAACAGAAGAAGAATCTTGGGTTCTGATTTCAGGTGTCTCTAACGTGAGCCGAACTGATCAGGTCCACCTGGACTCCTGAAGACCAGCAGACCCATGTGAGTAAAACTAACAGCCGAAGAACTGTTTCCTGTTTACCGTTTGTAATAAATTATCTGAAGAGTCTGACTGAAGCTACGGTCCAGGTCCAGAGAAGACTGAACTCTGTGTTGACCCAGGTTCAGCTGAGCTGCAACTAAAATCAGCAGAACAGGAGCTAAAACGGGCTAAACATGAGCTAAAACCAGATGAACATGAGCTAAAATGAGCTAAACATGAGCTAAAACCAGATGAACATGAGCTAAAATGAGCTAAACATGAGCTAAAACCAGATTAACATGAGCTAAAATGAGCTAAACATGAGCTAAAACCAGATAAACATGAGCTATAGGTGTCAGAACATGAGTTAAACCCAGCAGAAGAGGAGCTAAAAGCAGCAGACCATAAGCTAAATGTGACAGAACATGAGCTAAAAGTGGCAACATGAACGAAAAGCAGCAAAATGGGAGCTAAAACAGGCTGAACATGAGCTAAAACTGGATGAACATAAGCTAAAGGTGTCAGAACATGAGCTAAACCCAGCAGAACAGGAGCTAAAATTGGTAAACTAAAAGCAGTAAAATGGGAACTAAAATTGATAGAACATGAGCTAAAATGGGCTGAACATGAACTAAAACTGAATGAACATAAGCTAAATGTGTCAGAACATGAGCTAAAACCAGCAGAACAGGAGCTAAAAGCAGCAGACCATGAGCTAAATGTGACAGAACATAAGCTAAAAGCAGCAGACCATGAGCTAAAGGTGGCAGGACATGAGCTAAAATCATCAGAACATGAGCTAAAACCAGCAGAACATGAGCTAAAATCGGTATTATAAACTAAAAGCAGCAAAATAGGAGCTAAAATTGACAAAACATGAGCTAAAACAGGCTTAACATGAGCTAAAACTGGATGAACATAAGCTAAAGGTGTCAGAACATGAGCTAAAACCAGCAGATCATGAGCTAAAAGTGGCAACATAAACGAAAAGCAGCAAAATGGGAGCTAAAACTGGATGAACATAAGCTAAAGATGACAGAACATGAGCTAAAACCAACAGAACATGAGCTAAAATAGGAGCTAAAAGCTAGGATTTAGTTGAACTTGTTCTTTTATTAACTTTCAACTTCACAGAGAATCAGACAAAATGTTTTTCTTCCTTTCAGAATAAAAGAATCTTTAATCCACATGATGTAGACATTTGTTCCTGATTGTCTGAAACTAGAATCTAAATTTACACAAATGAAACAGTTCAGATCTGACAGAGCTCTGAAAATAAGTTCAAACATCAGTAAGTAAAGAAATTAACTTCATTTAAAGATAAAAAACTGGATTTTATGACTGACAGGAAGACTTCAGGTGATTAAAACCTGACTTTAATTGATAAATATGGATTTATCTCTTATTTTTGGAATGATGCAAGTAAAGGTGAAGTTTTGTTGTGTGTGTGTGTGTGTGTGTGTGTGTGTGTGTGTGTGTGTGTGTGTGTGTGTGTGTGTGTGTGTGTGTGTGTGT